ACTGCCGCTTCCTGGTCCCCGTCGCAACCATGGCTGAAGAACAACCGCAGGTCGAATTGTTCGTTAAGGTAAAAACATCTTCTTTTCCTTAGTCCACCCTCTGAACTCCTGAAAGGCAGCTCTCACCTTTCTCCAGCTCTAGCCTTAACTCCCCAAATCTCTTCCCTTCCTACCCACCACCCCCAACCCCACGTGCAGTCTTTGGGATTGGGGGTGGTGCTGGTTCTGGAGAAGACAATTGACCTGTGTGCAGATAATGAGAATTCTAGACTCAACCCTTAAAAGTTTGAAAAAGTGCAAGTTTCCAGCAGCCTAAAGGACCGCAAGATAGAGAAAAGAGGGTTCCGGGGAGTGGAGAAGATGACTGGGGTGGGGGGAACAAGTTCACGGAAGGAGGGGGAGAGAAGGGACAGCTAGAGTCCAACACGGTTTGGGAGGGACAGAGGGAAACATCAGGACCTGTGGTCCTGTGAGATCAGAGGGTGAGGGGTACGGGTGGGGAGACTTGGAGAAGTGTGTGTGTGGGTTTGTGTGTGGGGCCCGAGGTTTCGAGGGAAAGGTTTCAGAAGGTGTGGTACGGTGGCCTGGGAGTGGGAGGAGGTCAATTGGAAAGAATTGGTAGGGTGGAAGGAGAAGGGAGAGTGGGAGTGGAGTTCAAGAAGCAGAGCTGAAAAGGCAATGGGTGGAGAAGCATGTCCAGGGGTCTGAGAAAGGGAGAGAAAGGGAGGTGAGGAGATGGGAGTTTAGCTGTGGCTACCTGAAAGCCAGGTAAGAAAAGCAGAAGGAAGAGGGGAGCTAGGTTTAGGGCATTTAGGGTTTGGGGGTTGTAGAAGCAGGAAAGAGTTGCCCCAATTCCCTTCTGTGTGTGGGTAGATGAGGAGAGGTAGTCATGGCATTTGAGTATCAAAACCACAGTTTCGGGTCTTCACTGTTTTTGCCCTGCTCCCTTTCCCACTAGCGCTGCATCTCTCCCCTCTCTGGACTTCATCTCTGTGCCCCTCCCTCCCTTTGACAGCCTCCCCTCTGTGTCTTCTTTTTTGCACATTCTCTCCCACTTTCACTTTCCTGCTTCCTTTTTCTCCACTTCCCCTCTTTTGTTCATATTGTCTTTGTCTCTTCCTGCCTGTTTCTCTCTCTCCTTTATGCTGTGCTACTCTAGTAGCCATTCCTCTCCCCAAGCCCAGTGAAATGCCTGGGTCCGCCCCCTTAGGTGTGGTCCCCACCTCACTCTCACACTTGCCTCAAGAGATATTTTTACTCCTGGGTGAGGCCTGGCTGCAGAGATTCTGGCTTTGGGTCCTCTATGAGGAGTATTATCTGGAGCCTGAGGACTTGAGCCTGGGAGACCTCCTCACGCAATGTCCGGGAAGGGAGAGGTGGCCTTTGATGCCCAGTCCTCAGTTTCACAGGTCCCTGCCCCCCACTCTTTGCCAGGAAGGAAGTTGCTGAGGCTGGAGACACTGTGAGATGAATCACCCTCAGCCTAGGGGGAGGTGTCCTTTGGGAGATGAGGTCACCAATTGCCAATTAGAGGGCAGCCCCTCTCGGCAAGGCCTTCTACATCTCTAGAGTGAGGCTCTGAGCCGCTAGACTCCCCACCTAGCTGCCCAGAAACAGCTTGGGTGGAGGTATGAAGAACCAGGGCTCTGGTTTCCAAACTCTTCCCACCACCCCTGTCCTCAGGCTCTACTCCATTCTGGGACCAGGGAATCCAGGCATCTACCCTACAACTCTGGCCTCACCAAAATTCCTCTCTAGGGGCTATTTCATGAGTTGATGTGAGAATTAAATGAGTTTTTTGTATGTAAGGTGCTTAGAATAACACATAGAAAACTAACTACACTACTGTTAGTATTTCTTCTCTAGGGTCCATATCCTCTAACTTCTCCACAGTCCATTCCCTCTGCTTACCTCCTGTCTGTCCTCAACTCTGGGGAATCAGAAGCCGACCTTTGAAGAAAAGGTTCCCACTGATCTGCCCTAGGTTTGACCCAGCCCCACAGTGGAGAGCCCAGTTCTAGAGGGAGCTTTCAGTGGAGAGTCTGAGTGTGCGTCATGACTAGGCAGAAAACAACCAGGTATAGGAGTAGGAGATGCTGAGAATGGCCTGGAGATGGGCAGGGTGCACCAGGCCTAACTTTGGGGGTGGGGGTTGCTTTTCAGGCTGGCAGTGATGGGGCCAAGATTGGGAACTGTCCCTTCTCCCAGAGACTGTTCATGGTGCTCTGGCTCAAGGGAGTCACCTTCAACGTCACCACCGTTGACACAAAGAGGTGGGCCTACTTCTCTTCCTTTGAACACCCCCTTGTATTTACATGTACTTATGCACACATTCAGCCACCCGCGTCTTTCTATCCTGAACTTTTTTTTCCTTCTACCCAGAGCCCCTTTCTCTTCCCACATCCCTCATCTTCCCTTTCTGGTTCTGCCTGACCCCCTTTACCTGTCCTGATGCCTGGCCTCTCCTCTAGGCGAACTGAGACTGTACAGAAGTTGTGCCCAGGAGGGCAGCTCCCATTTT